TATATTCCTCTTAAGTGAAGGTTACTGTATACAATGTATATATCTATTATCTATTCATAAAGGAGTGTATGTATAATGTATATTCCTCTTAACTGAAGGTGTAAGAATGTATACATACAGGTATCTCTTCATAAAGGCTTGTATGTATAATGAATGTTCCTCATAATTGAAGGTGTAACAATGTAAAATTTCTATTTGGTTCACATAAGTTAAAGTACAAGTAGAACCCTCAAAATCATGATTAATCCAAGACAATTAACCTTAAAATAGCAGCCAACAGCAGTAGGAGTCAGCAGCGGCCATCATCTGTAGCCGTTTCATGTTTCTTGCGTTCCATTTTTACACGTAAGGGCCGAGGAAGGAATCTTTATCCGCCAGTTAAGAGTTAGACTCCCTCCACCAGATAACTTTTAACATGATCTATACCTTCAACAGAGTTCTCATACAATTGGTGCAAATGACTGGAGGAGCACAGACACCTTTCTATGTCAGGCTGGATGGTGATTGTCCTGCTACAGAAGACCTTGCTCGCCTCTTTGGTATCCCCTTCAGGTAGGTGCTCATGTGGGTCAGTGTCTAGGTTCATATGTATTTGTATTTCACCATAAGAAATAGTAAAGAGTGTATGTATATTGAATGCCTTAATATAACTAGTACCACTGATATGTCATGATGCTCAGTTTATACAAATTTTGATTTGCAAAGATTCGGTTTACGAAGATTTTGATTTACAAATATTTTTCAGGGAATGGAACCCTTTTGTAAACTGGATAAATCTATGGATGCCTGTACTCCTTTACATAAACAGTAATAACAAATAGAAAATAAGTACGACCGTATCTTATTTTGTCATTACCAACAGCAAATACCAGACCCAAGAGCATGAAGACAACAACATCAGCATCACGCAGCTCATCGCCATCGCTACCAGGAGTGCTGTGAATGATACCTTCAGCTGGTACCCTCATGCAGACAAGGTCATCTTTTTGGACGATGATGTGTTCCTTAGTCCAGGTTTTCTATGGTGAGTCTAATGTACAGGGGGGACCTCCTTTTAACAGATTCTATTGAGGAAAGTCCATTAGAGTGAGGTTCGTTAGACGTAAAACCCTCATTTACTGGACTAGTATATGCATTAGATTGAGGTCAGTTTATGGATGATAAAGTTATGTGTATGTGTGAGTACAGTATTTTTGCATAGTGTTTACACGTATGTTTATGTATGGATGTGTGTGTGTGAATGCTTATGTATAATTGTAAATATGCATTATTTATATGTACTGTATCATAACTACTGTACTGTACACTATTAACACATATTGAATAACTTACCACCTTGATTACATGTACTGTATTGTGAATGAATAACTCATCTGGACAGACAGGTACAGTACTAGACATTATTATTACATGTGTGGAAAATTATTAACATCAGAACAAGAATTAAATAAGTTAACTACATCCACAGGTACTTCCAGGAGACAGCACGACTCATGGATGACGACCCCACAATACTGGCTGTGTCGGCGCACAACACGTTCTCCTTCCCTGGCCTGGGCTACGACCCCTCCAGACTTCTCCGGGGAGTCATGCCGCCTCAGTGGGGATGGATGGCCACGCGGAGATTAATAAAAGCCTGGGTCCCTGAATATTGGGTAAACTAGATGTATATTCCAGATCCTGTACATGTTAAGGCCATTTATTGACCATTACACCATATAGATTTACTGGGCCATTCAGGCAAATGGTCTATTGCTTTGTTGTGACCTTTATTGTCTTGCATTAATACAGGAGGAAATCGGAATGAAGTATTGTACCTGGAGAAAACCTGCTGTGTATGGTAGGATCACACTGGATAACACCCTTCTCACATTTGATACAGGGATTGAACCAGGGACACAGTAGTGAGAGGCAAACACACTAATGTAATCTTGAACTAAAACATTTTACTACAGTACACAATTATTTCCCTGAGTATCTTATCTATCTATTGTTTGTGTGGCTACAGGGTGACTGGGACTACTGGGTGATGGCATTGTCACGGTCTAAGGGTCTGGACGTTGTGTTCCCCGAGGTGTCTCGCTCCTTACACGCTGGCAGTAGTGGCACCCACATAGACGGTTACAGCCAGGCAATGATCTTCAGCCGTCAGTCAGCCATCGCCAGTATCACGAACCTCACGGACGTTGACGGGTCAGTACGCGCACTCAGCTCCACCTCATAGAAATATTTCAGTTCCACTTCATAGAAATATTTCAGTTCCACCTCATAGAACTATTTCAGTTCCACCTCATAGAACTATTTCAGTTCCACCTCATAGAAATATTTCAGTTCCACCTCATAAAAATATTTCAGTTCCATCTCATAAAAATATTTCAGTTCCACCTCGTAGAAATATTATTGACACCATGGATGATCATTTGAAATTTTAACGTTTCTGGATCCTGAATATTTGCGTCCAAGATAATTCTGGGGAGCTTAAACTTGAGATTGGTTAAGGTGGGGTGAAACTTGGGCCGAGTACTTTGAGGGGCTAATCTTCAGGTGATCCACAGATGCTAAAGTTATGAATGGTATTGACTGCATCACTGATATTTACTCACACCAACCTTCTTACATAGCAGTTAAGGTTATATGTATTTATCTGACTATGGTTACCATTGTAGTGTGTCTTCAACTTAGCTCTTAAGATTCAGAAGAGCTGCAATACTTAACAGGTATACGTGACAGATGAGTTCAGCTTGACGACTTGAAGACCTTACCTTACGTAACTTAACCTATATTTATATTATAGTGACTCATCTGTTTATTCATTTATATTGTTGCAAGTATGATGAGTATAATAACCCACTGACAAGAATATGCATTGATTTCCCTTAATCTTTTGCCCAGGCTACTACGGGAAGCATATTCAACAAAGCTGGCTAGCGATGTGGCTCGGGCAACACCCATCACCTTAACCTCACCTAAGAACTGTGGTCCCAATCTTATCCCAGCTGGACAGGTAACATACATTGAACCTTTGATCTTTGCAAGGAAGGCCACATCTGACCCAAGCCGGGGATTGAACCCAGGACAAATTCATGAGAAGTATGCGTGTTATTGCCTTACATGGAAGTAAAGGTGAAAAAATACAGATTACAGTAGTAGTTATTTGTGGATATTTTCAGTAGTAATAAATAAATTGGATTTGAAAGCATAGATTGGTAACATTTGTGTTTTTTAATGAGTCATAACTGGGTTTCATAATAAGTCACACATTTTTTTTGGATCCTGGATATATATATGGAGAGAGGACATCTTTAGTGTTTATTATTGGTCAAAGAATCTGTCTCCTATCAGCTTTGATCTCTTAAACATTTGTAAATTTTTATACATGGAAGCTTTCAGTGTTTATCCCGCATATACAGGTCTCAAAAACATTACTAGGCTAAGTTTGAACCCATAAATATACACAAATTTTAGACATAGACTCACTTTAAATCATCTTCCTCACATAGGTCCCCAAAATATTCACAATCAAACTTTTAATCCCATACTTGATCTCATAAAACAATACCACTTTCCAGGAGGGGCCATTTGTCATGTTCTTCACCGATGAACGAGAACATTATGCTGTCTTTCAGGTGGGTGTTCTGCATTGATGTTATTCATTTGTTCTTTTATTGTATTAATGTGTTATTTCATGTTATTTTCTGTACTCTCTTGATCATTACTTCTCACTGTGATGTATAATGACAATAAACTGGACATCTTTTTGGTGCTACTCAGAACTGTGACTTAATATTTGTGTATGGGGATTACATTAAGTACCCCAGCTTATATCACATGATGATTAAATACCCTGCTACTACCTGGAGGGATTAAGTTGGGTTTGATTAGATTAGGGAAAAGTAAGTTAATGTTACAGTAATTAACCATCAGGTGAAATAAACTGGGGTGCCTAATCTTCAAATGATCCACCTATACTATGATAGTTGCTGCCAAATGTTAAGTCTTGCATGTCTTCCTCTTAAAAGTGCTTGGGGATGTATAGTGGAGACCTCCGGGGTGATTTCGAGCATGTGCAGCAGCTGAGGGTGAACGGCCAGGTGTTGTACCTGGTTGAGTGTCCACAATCACCACACTGGTAGGTACATAGAGAGAAATTCAGTGAAATTGTCTTTACAAGTTTAGATTGATTTAGAAAGTATACAGACAGTGTAGGTACTGTAGCATGTAAGTAGACAGTAGAGG